CACTGGCTGTGAACATTCTAAACTAACACGAGTCTCATTAAGTGTCCAGTTTAAGGGTATTACACAGAAACATACCAAGGGAACATGAATCAAATATGCACTTTTATTCATTTACAATAAACTCATAAAGTACATCATTCTGATTGAAGCTAAGGGCATACAAAACTGTCTAACAAGGCAACGGATTTCAGCTATAAGGGACTTAATATCAAGGAGGACAGGTATCATCTTCCACACTCGCGCTATCTGCACTCTTAGCCTTCGTCTTCTCCTTGCTTCTCCTACAGAGTACTAACTTAAGCATCGGAGTGTTCCCGCCGGGTAAGCCCCCGGGGATTCTTCTTCTTCTCCATCTCAGGTATCTCCAGGAGCCACGTGAGTGCCAGCCTGGAGTGACCGGATTGCGCTACATCACCACCACTAACCCCTAACGGGAGGCCCAAATATTTAACTGGGAGGGAACCAATCTGACAAGCCAAACTATCTAAACATTCAGCTAAGTTAGAGACTTGGCCAACTAGGATGATTTGGCTCTTATTCCAGTTAACTTTTAGCCTTGTAATCACTTCAAACCAAGATAGGGTTCTAAGGACAAGCTCCATCTGAAAGGGAGAGGCATCCACAAACCATAGAGTATCATTTGCAAATTGAAGAATGTTCACCTTCTCTCCCCCCGGCACCATAGCAAAACCAGCCCACTCTCCCGAGATTGCAACCTTCTTGCAGAATAAAGTCAGGATCTCCATTAGACAAATAAAAAGAAGAGGAGACAAGGGGTCTCCCTGCCTGAGGCCCCTGGAACTATCAAAGAAACCTGCAGTTTGCCCATTTACCAGGACTGAGAACTTTGGAGAAGTGATACAAACTTTAATCCAATTTCTCCATTTTTACCCAAAATTCATCTGATGCAGCATAAGGTCCACACATCTACAGTTAACATGATCATAGGCCTTCTCAATGTCAAGTTTACAAATCAAATCTGGGGAACCTTCTTTTTTCCTTGAGTGAATGAGCTCATTGGCAATAAGCACCGAATCCAACATCTGCCTACCCGGAATGAAAGCACTTTGGTTGTTTGAGATGACACTACCGAGTACTCCTTTTAATCTTTTAGCAAGCACTTTTGCTAGGATTTTATAAAAACTATGCAGAAGGCTAATCGGCCTGAAATCCCTTATGTTGACTGCACCTTCAATCTTTGGAATAAGGGTGATGAAAGTAGAGTTCAGACTTCTCTGCAAGGAACTCCTCTCAAAAAAATCCTGGAAAACATTCATAATGTCCTGTCTCACAACATCCCAGCATTTAATGTAAAAGAGATTAGTAAGACCATCCGGGCTAGGGGACTTCTCATCTACCAACAATTTGATTGCCCCTTTGATTTCCTCAGAGAAAGGACCCTCAATTGCTCCTCACTCAACTAATTAAAAGGAAGGGACCTAGGAAAAGGTCTGAAGGGCCAAGGCTCCTTATACAGCTTCTTATAAAAATCTGATGCCACAACCTTCAAATCAGACTCAAAGGTACCTACCGTGCCCTCCCCCTCCAACCTGGTAATTATAGAAGCTCTAGCTCTAACATTTGCCATTTTGTGAAAAAATGGGCATTCCTATCCCCCTCTTTCAGCCACACAACTTTTGCTCTTTGTCTCCATTTAATTTCTTCCACCACCGCCAATTTATCAAACTTCAGTTTAGCCTCCTGTCTTTTTAATCTGAACTCCTCAGCAATAGGACCAAGCTCTTCAGCTGTATCTATCTCCTTTATGAGACTCAGAAGAGCTTTCTTCTCTGTATCTGAATTAAAGTTCTTTTCCAACTTCCAAATCTTTAATCTTGCCTTGATGGCCCCCAGTTTCTTTGCCAATATGAAAGAACTAGTACCCTCCACCTGCTGCTCCTCCCAGACTGACTTCAACAGAGGAACAAGATTTGCATCCTCAAACCAGGCATTCTCTAGTTTAAAAGGAACTTTGGCTCTCGTCCTAGCACCACAAACCAGCTGAATTGGACTGTGATCCGACACCGGCCTAGGGAGAGCAATCTGCTTAATCTCCGGAAAGGCCTCTTTCCAATTAGATGTAACTAGAAATCTGTCCAGCCTCACCAGAGTAGGAAGATCTTGATTGTTGGTCCACGTAAACCTATTGCCATGAAGAGGAAGGTCTTGGAGTTCAAATCTGTTGATAAATTCAGCAAACTGCACCATATCCCTCGATCTTCTCCCACCCGAACTTCTCTCCTCCACCGACAATGTGACATTAAAATCCCCGCCAATAATCCACGGGCAAGAAAGATTCCCCCTGGTCACAGCCAGTTCTTCCCAAAACTCCTCCCTCTGACTTCTATTATTAGGGCCATACACATTTGTTATTTGACAAACATTATCATCAGCCAACTTCAAAACAAGAGAAATTGAGAAATTCCCGATCTGAGATGAAATCAGATTACACACTGTTGGGTCCCACATGCTCAGTAACCCCCCTGCACTTCCAACAGCAGACTTTGACCTCCACCTAACCTCGCCCTCCCCCCAGACACTCCTAATCACTGCTGCCTCCACACTTTCCAATTTAGTTTCTTGAATCAGAATCACCTTTGAGCCTGAAGTTTTCAGAGAATCACAGACCACCAACTTTCTTCTCCCCAACCCCAAACCCCTAACATTCCAAGAAAGAATCTTGAACTCCATATCAAAACCACCAAGAATGATAATAGGCACTTAAGCCTTTCTCCCMCCCCCCCCCTTCAATCTCCCCTCACTCCTCCCCCCTCTATCATTAAGGTTCCAAGTCAAACGTAACAGTTCTCTACTTCGTTTGGATTTAATACCCCCTTTCTTTACTGTGGATTTACCCCTTGCCACACGCATTCTTCTCTCAACCCCTTCCAGATACTTGATTGTCTACTCTTCCATTCCTTCTAGTGAGATCCCTAGGAATTTTCCCATCCCCAATAGCTTTTAGAAGAAACCCAAGAAGATTTAGAACCACTTACCGATTGCTCCCCAACCAGCTTCGGCTGAGCCAACAATTCATTATTGTCATCCTGCAGCTGCCCAACCGAAGAGACTCCCCTAGCTGAACTCCAGAGCTTACTCCCTTCCCCTTGTAGCCCCAAAACCTCTTGTCCACCTCCATCAGCCATAGTTTGAGATTCTGCAGCTACCATCACAATCGGGTCCACCTCCAACAGATCCACTTCGTCGCTCTGTTCCTCTAACAGGTTTGGCTTTTGCTGAACCTCACCTTCCAACACAACCACTTGGGAGGGTGAAGGCTTCACGATCCCCGAGCCCAGGTCCCCGGCTCCCCCCGCCCCACCCATCTTCTCTCTACCAGAAACTAGTGCCCAACACTCCTGCGACTTCTGATCGGCCCCTGCCTTGACACTCTGAAGACAATCCCCAGCTGAATCAATAAAAGTCGGATTCAGATGGACCCGCTCTCCAAAGGGGGATTCAGGTCTTTTGGGCCCTTAGGCCCAAGCCCAACTTCTGTATTAGAGCTAAAAAACCTCGACTGGACTAGGTGCTGATTTCCTGGCCCAATAATATCATTCTGACTACCATGGGCCAACTGAGGCCCAAAAGGGGGGGGGGCTGGGTCACCTTGATTTGGTTCGCTGACGCGTGGCCCACCTTTGTTTCCATCTGGAGCTTAGCGAGACACTCCTTAATGAAGCATTTAATGGATTCAGATGGAACCTGAGCTTTGCTATCTCTATGTTGCATGAGTAGGAGTAGAGTAGCAGATGGCTCATTCCAGGCTAGTTTTAATTATGTTTTTGTTTCAGTAGTCTTACTGTGTCTTTTGTATCTTTTCAGGCGAATGTTGTGTTCGGCCCATAGTCCACCGGCCCTTGTTCTTGCGTGCCAGTTCTTTTGTTCATTTGTATCTTTACTGTTATTGATAACAAAATAATCTTCATCTTGGCTTTGGAGTTCTGAAATCTCATTCAAAATGGCTCACTTTGCATGGAAATTCATCCTTGAGAAGATGGTAGTAATTGATCATCCATCTTATCATGCAAAGGATGTTTCTTCTGATGCATGTTGTATTTAGATGGCTAGTTAGTGAACCATCTACTAATTTATAATGCCCTTTTAAGTAATTTTCCCAGTTTTTTAAATTTATTTTTGGATTTGTCATCTATGGGTTTGAACTTTGGTGGAAATGTGGAGAGTTTGCTGTTGGAAGAAAAGAAATGCAATGAATTTCCATTTTGAGAAATTAAAGGACTTTTTCCACCAATACTATTATTTTCTTAAGAAAAAACATGTAACGTTCACTTTTACAAGAGTTTGCATTTACTTACGTTTTGATTGGTCATTAGTCCTTTGTCAATTTTTGGCAGAAATTTTATTTGATGATTTTCACATTCTTTTACAAGCTGAAGGGGGTGTAGAACTGATGTAGGACGGGAAGGAGAAAGATCCTGTTATGGTGTGTGGTAGGTAGATAAGGGAAATTAAGGATCTGATTTATGAAAGTGAGATACAGATCTGAAATAGAGAAGAGAGGAGATAGATTGCAGCTTTAGAGATGCAGTGATAAAAAAATAGAGAGAGAGGAAAATACACTCTTTACCTGCAGCTGACTTCCAAACAAACTTTTATTTGATTAATTCAACTCTTAAATTTCAATTACAATGGCTTTATTTATAGACTCAACATAAGAGCTCAGGTCTCCCTTTATATACTCCAATCTGGACTTCAAATAGACCATAAACAAATGCTAATTGCTTAAAAATTAAGACAAACCCTAACCCATATGGACACTCAAATGCAGACTTGACTTTTAAAACAACCCTAATAACCCATTACCAATACTACCAAACCTAAACAAACCAAAATCAACATTATGATAACCTAAAAATAGAGACATCCTTCTTGCTATCTCATGCATCTTTTCTGATTATGACTGTCATTCTTTGCCTTTTTTGAAACAGCCCACTGAATCTAATACGTATGCAGACATAGAGGCAGCTTATAAATGCCTGAAGGAGCAATATGGAGTAAAAGATGAGGATTTAATATTATATGGTCAGTCAGTTGGAAGTGGTCCAACTCTTGATCTTGCTTCCCGTTTGCCAAACTTGAGAGCTGTAGTTCTTCATAGTCCCATTCTTTCTGGGTTGCGAGTATTGTATCCTGTCAAACGAACATACTGGTTTGACATCTATAAGGTAATATTAGATCTTTAATTTTGTGTATATGCCCTTTTATGTGGTAATGGGGAACTTATTTATTTCTGCTTTTCCTCCCAGAATATTGACAAAATTGGCATGGTGAATTGTCCAGTCCTAATAATTCATGTAAGTAGTTTTACTTCTCACCGATTACATTTTTAACCTCATTGTCTTGGTCTTTATTCATTTCCTTATTGGACTGTTTTGATTGACTAGGAAATCTGATTGTTGATTTAGGAGTAATAGTGTATAGATGACGAACGAAGCATGCCAAGAATCTCAAAAGAATTTAGGCTAGACCTTCTACCTAATCTGTTAGCATTTCTTGTCTTGGTGTAGTGGTAAAATCTTGGGCTGGAGAGTGTGAGAATGTAAGTTCGACTCTGAGATGCTACCTTTTTGAAAAAAAAAAAACCCATAGGGGTTGTTTGAGTAGTGCAGCACCACACTTACCAGTCTTACCCCCCCATCCCCAAATTTGTTGGTAGTGGGATTCGAATTCCCTTCTCTGCTGGAACAAACCAGCTAACATACCAATTGAGCCACCCCTCAGTTGGCAACTGAAGGTTAGGACTAGACCTGTTCATGGGCCGGGTGGACCGACGGGCCGGCCTGGCCCCCGGACGGGCTTGAACACGCAAATGAGCCCGTGGGCTTAACCCCGGGCCAAAAAGCCCGGCCTGCAATAAATTTGAGCCGGGCTCGGGATTTGCCAAAATAGCTCGGCCCGGCCCGACCTATAGACTAAACTTAAAAAACCCTAACACCCTAAGCCGAACCTCTCTTCTCTTTCACCTCTTTCCCCTTAGCCGAACCTCTCTTCTCTTCAGTCTTCACATCCTCCTCAGTCCTCACACTCTTAGGCAGCCACACAACCGGCGAGGCAGCGAACATTCACCGACGCAACAACTCCGGCGGTGAGTCCTCTCCTTCTCTCTCTCTCTCTCTCTCTCTCTCTCTCTCTTTCTCTCTCTTTCTTTCTCTCTCTCATTTTTCTTCTCACTTCTCTTTCAAATCTCAGACACCGGTGAGGCGGCGAATATAGGCACCAGCAGCGGTGGCAAGTTCTCTCTCTCTCTCTCTCTCTCTCTCTCTCTCTCTCTCTCTCTTTCACTCTCTCTCTCTCTTTCTCATACGCGAATTGACACACTTTTCACTGTTAAATCGCAACTCATAGTCACCGCAAACTCAGCTCCGGCGAACACAGTCACCGTCGAGCTTCGGGCTCGGGCTCGGGCTTCGGGCTTTTTATCAGGGCCGGGCTCGGGCCCAAGTTGTAGGCCCGTTGGTCGGGCCAGGCTCGGGCTCGGGCCTAACAAATTTCTATTCATGAAGAGTAAAAGCCCGGCCCGACCCATGAACAGGTCTAGTTAGGACCATATACAGTCTACCCCTCCCAAGACTCCAGATAGCTAGAACCAGCAGTGGTTCTAGGAATGAACCCCCGCTCCCCTAGAACAAAAAAAAAAAAAAGAAAAAAGAAAAGAAGAAACTTGTCTGACCAGTGAATCTTTCATAGCTAATCTTTGAGTTCAAGTGAAAGTCGCTCTCATTTCTTCAGCTAGGTGTCTTTTCCTGCATTGCCAAAGTTCTGGACTGTTGTTCTTGAGCCACACAACAATTAGAATCACCTTCCACTAACAATTCTTGATGGTTGAGAGATTTTCCAACTTTCAGCCCTTGACCTTTTTTTCGTTCTTTTTTTTTGTTTGATCATTTTCATCAAGTAAACAATTTCTGATCTTTTTCTTTTCTACCGTGTTCAAGAAACCATTTCATTCGAGGGAATAGATAGATGAATGATCTAAAATGCCCCTACATGTGAAAAACTTGGGGACTGTGACTTCCCCATTGTAGTTAAGGGTTGCTTTGGCACATTCCTCCTTGTACATTAATTCCTATCTATTTCCCATATTTTAATAAATTTTTCATGTTATCCATAAAAAAGTCATTTGGTGCCAAAACCCAATCCATAACAAATGCTTCTGACATCCACACATAAATGAACTAAAAGAGTCTTTATAACACAACAAAACTTCTCTGGTTCCTCTCTTCCTCAACTGTCCAGCAATATTCTAACCCAGCAAATGCCCTCTTGTTTCCACTCTGTCCAAACAACGCAACAATAGTAAACCATGGATGAAAGAGTGGATTCCATACCGCCTGCTGAGAGCGAGGGCCAAGAGAGGATTGCATGACAAACTGAAGGAGCAAAGTCCAAGAGGCATGGACTAGATACCATTGGCATGCCCAAAGAAGTAAGTACCTGGGCAAAAAAAGAAAGATAAAATGCCGGAAATGTTTATGCTAACTTGAGAGGATACTCTATAAAGCCTTACTGCCAGCACCACTCCAATTGCCTTCCTAAGATCTGATATTTGTGCCATTTCCCTCTTTTAGTTTTGTAGGATCATGTTCATAAAAAAGATTCATGTTTCCTTTCCAAAACTAATCTCAAATGAAAATTTAACTGCTAAAGATACTTATTGATACAAATAGTTGGTTCCTCTCTGCTAATCTTTATGACAGATTGTGAAAGATAAAAGTTCTTTTTCATCAAATGTATAAGATGTGTTTACAAGAATCTAAAAATTGTCGCAGAGTTCTTTAAAACAGCAACTTTTCCAAAAAATATTACTGAAATATTGGCTAATAGTTATTTATCAAAATAAGTAGTGGCTAATATTTGGTACATAATCAATCTGTTTAATATCATTTTAGTACCATTAAAAGAAACTTAGGATATTATCCTACCATGAGCATCTAGTTGTTTTCTCAACCAAGGATGACCAGTGGCAACTGACCAGGATTTTTTCTTTTTTTGGTAAACAACTGACAAGGCTGATAGTTTAGCCAAGTATGAGATGTGAATGCATTATAAGAGTGGAGCCACTTTAATCCTCTATGGTTAATTTTTTTTTGATCAGCAATAAAGATTGTTTCATTAATTAAAATATGTGGAGTTAATTACAGACTGATGACCCAAAAGTCATCCCCAAGGATTACAACCAAAGTTACAACGAGGCCCAATATATATGCTGCCTTGCAGCCCCTTGTTTGGCTAAAGTATCTGCTAACCCATTTGCACTCCTGATCCACTTAAAATCAGCATTTATATCCTTTGCTAATCTTTCCACTTCTCTGAAGATATGCTTGAGGGTCCATGGGACATGTCTATTACATCTTGCCCAAGAGATTACAACTTTTGAGTCCTCTTCTACTTCCAACGGACGAAAACCCAATTGCTTTGCCAATCGGAGGCCCTGTAATAAAGCCTACTCAGCCTTTGTTGAGTTTGTAATACCAATTGGCCCTAAAGATAGAGCCAGTAATAATATCTTGCATTCTGCATTTCTGATTTCTCCTCCAATTCCTGCCACTCCTGGGTTGCCCATAGAGCTTCCATCAAAATTCAGTTTTACTTTGTTTACCTCTGGCAGTTTCCACTCGATTCTTCTTCCTTGTTTCTAGAGTTTCCTCTGTGGTTAATTTTCACTATTCTTATTTTTATTTACATCCTTGATTTTTTCAATAAAATTCTCTTTGTTACTGTAACAGAAGGCCTTTGGTTAGGGAGGGCCGTGGCTCAGAAAACACCCTTTATGGAGGAGAAATATACTAGGAATTGAAAAAAAAAAGAAACTGAATTTAAAAAAACAAAGTATGCTCTTATGGATAGAACAAATAAAAATTATTCTTGCAGTAATTGTATAACATGCATAAATTCTTTATTTGTAAAATTTGTTGAACTCAATGATTTTTTTGGTAATGATTATTGATTTTAATTACTAGTGTATTTTCCCCTTACTTAGGGTACAGCAGATGAAGTTGTAGATTGGTCCCATGGGAGGCAGCTTTGGGAGCTTTGCAAGGAAAAGTATGAACCTCTCTGGATAAATGGTGGTGGCCACTGCAATCTTGAACTTTTCACCGAGTACATTAAACATCTGAAGAAATTTGTGTTGACCGTTGGTAAATCAAAGGCTGCTACAAATGGTCATAAAAGAACAAAGATCGAGTCTGATCATAAGAGTAAACCAGCTGAAAGAGCAACTTCAGATGCAATTGAAGTAGGCACCGACTACCCTGAGGTCTCTAGGAACAGCTTAGATAGTCGACTAGAGAAGTCTAAAAAGTCAAACAAGCCTGAAAAATCACGAATGAGCACTGACCGTGTTGATAGATTTAGAAAAAAGGGTTTGATCTGGTGATTGCACAAAATTTGCATCTCAAATAAGTTAATGTGCGTCAATTGCATGAACAGGCATTCCTTGTTTTGTTGTTGTTCTGTTATGATGCATATCTCTCATGAAATTATCAGTTCAAGCATAGTATGCTTTTAGGTTTCAAAAGGCGTCAATTATTGTCAAAGATCAGGGACTGCAATTCCATGTATACAAACTCAGTTGAATTTTTTTGTTTGTCTTTATGGGGCCATTGCTTGGTGTAATTATAGAATCTCAGGCTGACAAGTCTGAGAATGTGGGTTCAACTGTTTAAGTCTGAGAGTGGCCACTCTGTGAAAATGCCAAAGGTTAGGTCAGTATCCAGTCTGCACCTCTCAAGACCCGAGATAGGTGGGACAAATGTTAGGTAATTACGTTTTTTAATGGCAAGTAAATACATATCATGAAGTTAGCTCTCCTGATGGGAGAGCAAACTTGTAATTTGGCAGATAGCACTGCTGAAATGATGCATCCAATGGGACTGAAGGTTAAAATTTGTAGTATCTGAATATGGAGCAGCTACTGGAGTACTAGTTTGGCACTTTGGCCATTGTTTTTTTTTTTTTTTTTTTGTAATATTGGAGTAGGGATTTGGCACTTGGTTCTAGAAGATTTCTCATGTTCCTGTTTATTTGAAATGACCATGACGTTCGAATCATCTTACTGCATTGTCTACCTCCTTTAAGCTAATGGGCTCTTGCATTTATCAGTGAATTTAAAAAGTGAGGCTTTGCTGCGGGCAAGAAAGTTTAGTAACAGCCGAGAGATCTCTGTCAAATGGCTCTTTATTTGTCATAAAGCCACTATATCTACTTATAGAAGCTATATCCAGGCAGTACAGGAAACAAACTGCCGTTTTACGGGGTAAGTCTTGTCCATTTTCCAAGCTGATCTTAATGATTGGTTAGTTAAACATGTGAATGAAGATCCCTGCTTATCCCATTCTTTATCTCATTCTAAAATTTGAAGCTAACAGTGTCTGAAGACAGAAGCTTGATCTAACTGCCGGAACAACTTGGTTCTATCTGACTCTGAGTATAACCAGGTTAAAGTTCTTCTGTTACTAGTTCCATGCTCTAATATCCGGTGCTTGATTGCTCCGTATCCCATGTCCTACAGTGCTAGCTCGATCAGGCCAATAGACCTGTTAGGACCACATGGAAAATAAATAAATAAAAATAATGGCTGCCTTATTACAGAGACATTGACATAATGCAACTTCTTCATCTGAAGCTTTTGAAATAAAAAGTCAAAGTGTCGTCAGTGAAGTAATTTTCCACCACTCGTGTTTCAACCGTTCAACGTAAAAGCCAGTTCCATTGGTAAGTGGGCTCTGATATTTCCTGCAAAAGGTTTCTTATATAAAGTTGGAGGAAGTGGGTCGTCAACACCTGCGATTCCCTCCTAGTTGGATCAGGATTAGTTTAACTTGTCTTCAGGGAAACACCTAAATAGAAACTAGACTCATTTCCTATTTTAAGTGTGAAATGAGGTTTTTATATTTTTGTAGCTCTGGGTTCAGACTTCCCCTCATAATTAAATATAGATGTTTTGTTGCATCCTCTTTACTTCCTTCTCTTAATTGTTAAGTTTATAGATGACGATCCTCAGAGATGCGTGTACTCAACGAACGTATTTAGTTTTCTTAGATTAGCATAGCTGGCCGGGACCCGCGTCACAAACCCTTACCTACTTCGATTTCATTCCTTTAATCTTCTCAACCTTAACGGCTTAATGGGCCATTGACTCCCTTTCAGTGGCTCCCCTCCATGTGGGAGGTTGGTAGTTGAAGTCCATAAGGTGTGTACGACTTATGAGCTCTCTGGGTTCAACGGCCACCTACACGCTGCACTACAACGCCGGGAAGCGCCGTCTGTCCCCTCATTTGCCTCCTGCTCTGAGCAGTCAAGCTCTTTCTGAGGTCACAAACAGTGGCTTCATTAAGTGAGACTTTATTTATTTCCTCAGTGCCTTCCTATCCACTCAAAATACTATATATTATATATTAAAAAAAAAAACAGAGGAGTGAAGGATTCAATTAGTAGGAGAGTCGAGCTGATCCAAAATAGTGTGGCAAATCTTCCAAGGTGGAGTTACGTACATGGGTGTAGGGACAATATATAGTCTTAAAGGCACGATGACACATGAACGGCCCCTCAATGTCTATCCACTGCTCAGAATTATTGATGGAATGGGTTCGACAAATAAATGGTTGAAGTCATTGGATCCCTCCACATACCCTTAATAGTGAAGTTGGTAAGGGTTGATAGGAACTCACTCTTGTTTTCCAACCAAGAAACTAAACTTAGTTAAATGTTGAAGTTGCAGGAAATGAGAGAAGAGGACATGAAAACAGAAAAACAGATATACTGCGTGCTTCAATTAACTGAGATTCACATTCACAGAGGCTAAGACAATCTGATTGCTGTAGTGTACCCATATTTATCTATTTTTCCATCCAACTGGTGGGTGGGTCCTTGTATTAGAAATAGGTTGGATTGATCCCAATGCCAATGTGCATGTAGATCCTCCACCGACTAGTGGACCCAACTGGTTCCCTACGTGGGTCCCTTCCCCTGATGAACTTGGGCGCCAATTTACAACTGAAACATGATGGCCCACATTTATTGCATCATGATGGTGTCGACTTTCTTTTTTTTTTTCCATTTTGGATTTGGAATTACTTAAACATAAGATCTCATGGTTGATAATACCCCAAATCTTGAGCTGTTAGCCATTGATTGAAAGAAGAATATAAGGAAAAAGATTATTATAACATTTATATTTTCAATAAATTATTATAATATATAAAAATTCTTTAAATTACAACTGAAGACTAATAATAAATGCCAACAACATTCTTCACAACTACTGCTACTGTGCTACATAAATCATTATATATCTGAAAAATTCTCATCAAGAACAGCTAGACCTTATTAATATTTTTTAATCACCATTGATACTTAAACCCTACAATCATGTATAATTACAAACTCAGCCAGAATGTACAGCTGCCATATTTTCAGATTTTTATTTTTTCTTTTAATTTTCTTATTTTTATTTTATTTCACAATGCATCACATTACAATGATCCTCGGTGATATGGGTCCCATAGATGAATATCATTACCTTCTGATTGGTGAAACTTTTGGGTTGTGAGAATTGGGCCCACCAAATAGGGTAATGGGCTAGAATGTGATTCGAAGTGCCAACTGCGCATACGGCTCACGTTAGGAGTATCATATGATTGCAGGGACAGAAACGCATGAAGAAGGTCGGCACGTGGTAGCTTTTTTCCACGAAGTGGAAAATAGTTCTGGCGTGAAAGCGAAGTGAATAGTGAAACATAGAACCACACAATAAACCAGAACAGAGCAGGAGACAGACCAGAACAGAACAGAAACGTTTCGTTTAGTTTAGTTTAGAAGAAGATGCGGTCACATTAACATCAACCTACCTTGGACCCTTTTAACCTTTTTTTTTATGGTAAAAAAAAAAAAAACAGCTTTCATTCAACCGAACCCACAAGAAAACAGAACGACATAACAGAGAACAAACACAGAAATACCTTGGACCCTTTTAACAGACCCCGTTTTTCTTGCCTTTCCACGTTTTCGTCCAAAATATAATAATAACAACTCCTTCTCAAGATCTGAATCCACTGTAAATATATTTTAAGTTGTTTTTCCTTTCTTTCCTTCCCTGTACAGTTTCTCTAGGACAAATGGCTTTTGGGTTCTATAGTTAGGATCAGCAATTGCGTTACTTACTCAGCAAAGGGGCCGCTTTGTTTCTTCATGAATAAAAAAGTTTGCTTTTTAGCCCTTTAAAGTCTGAACTAACCAAAATTCTCTCTTTTGAAGAATTTTTTATTGGTTTTATTTTGGAAAGCATTTTGAGCTTTCTTTTCTTGTTGGGTTTGGTGGTGGGGCTGTGTTTTTGTGCAATGCAGATGACCTGGTCTGGTTTGGACTAAGAAATTAGAGGCGTAAGGAGGAGGGTGTTTTAATTATTATTAATTTCAGTGCCTTCTGCGGAATTCTTTGAATTGGGATATATGCTTAGATTATTTAGTTTTACAGTACATATCCCGTCAGGCCGTCACTACTCCGCGTTTGGTATCGAGTTTTCTTCTTGTTGGTTTGCTGTAGTTGTGGGTGGTGACTGCGATCAGATCTGCATTTGGATTCATTCTACAGGCTGGTGCAGGCGTTGTGACTCGGCGACGATCGAGACTTGACGTGGTAATTCTCACTCTCTTTATACTTCGTTTCGAGTTGAATTGATCGACTGGGTCGTAGCAGTGTTCGACATTTTGTCCTCCATGCGATGGATTAATTCAGAGCTTGCAGTTGCTTGAATTGCAACGGTTTGTTGTTTCTTTTTGTTTTTCTGGGCTCATTTGTTTTCGCTACGATTTGAAGTACATTGACGTTTATTGAGTTAGTTCCACTAGTTTAGTATTTGGTTCAGGTTGGAGATGTTGTAATTGATTTGGTAAATGTTGGTTGTTTTTGTGTTTAATTAGGGACTGGTGTGCTTCTCATTCAATGGAGTGTGGGACATTGGTGATGTTGGGGAAAAGAACTAATCCGGAAATGGAGATTTCTTAAGGATTTTCTGTTATGGGTTTCAATTTAATGGAGTTGTTTTGGGATGTCATGATGAGATCATGACGGAGTTGGATTGCACTTTAAAAGTTAAAACCAAGGTTTTGATGTTTTGGAGGCTGTGGGCCTGAGCCAAAGACTTAACTCTGGTTTGGTTGATATGGCGTCGGCAGAAGGGAGGCGTCATCGGCATGATCGGCATGGTAGGCATGATCGGCACGATCTAGTTCCTCTTGCGGCCTTGATCAGCAGAGAGTTGAAGAGCGAGAAGATGGAGAAGCCGAGTGTCAGATATGGTTATGCTGCTCAGTCTAGGAAAGGGGAGGACTATTTCTTGATAAAAACAGACTGTCAGAGAGTTCCAGGGAATTCTTCCTCTACCTTTTCTGTATTTGCAGTATGTAACCATTCTTTTCTTCTAAACTTTTAAGATTTTAGTTTTCTCTCGCGAATGCTACAAAAACATGCATATCCGCATTTTGGGAACTTAATTTTCTCATTTGAACTCAGTCTTAGGTCGTATTTATGCTCTTCCTAGTGCTCTAATGTACATTTGCAATTGTGATGCTTGGGGCAGAGCTACCCCCGTCTTGTGTAGCTCCTCCTAATTTTACCAAAAAAAAAACCTCAGTATTAGGTCATGGTTGGCTTATCTTCAAATGAATATATGCTTGAAGTTGGTAATTTGTTTAAGTTTAAACCCATATTTGGAATTAGGAAAATATGAAAATCATAGCTTTTGCATTTGCAACCAAAGTAGGGGCTCTGCCTTTAGGTGCGGAGCTATGTTTTAGCTTTTTTTATCTGTTGGGTCTCTCATTGGCCATCTCAAATCAGAGGTGTCAGTTGATTTTGCAGATTGCTTTGGAGTGCCATGGCTCTAAACTTTCATTGTTATATAGAGCTTATTCCCTGATTCTAGTAATTTTATTCGTCTTAATGCAACTTCTGTAATATTTTTTAATATAAATAGAAGGAGATCATGACTGAGTTATCAATGATCATATATTGATAAGCTTTCCAGTTAATATATGTTCAAGTTATCACATAATCCTTTTCCTATGTTGTAATTTGATGGATTTTTTACTATCCTATATATGTGATGGTTTGTAACTCATGTGATGAACCAACTTTCAGATCTTTGATGGGCATAATGGGAATGCTGCAGCAATTTTTACAAGGGAAAATTTGTTAAATCACGTATTGGGTGCATTACCCCGTGGTCTTGGACGGGAAGAGTGGCTTCATGCCTTACCTCGGGCATTAGTTGCTGGGTTTGTGAAGACTGACAAGGAATTCCAGAATCGAGGCATGCGATTAATCATTTTTGTCACACTTGGTTTGTTGCTGCTTTCTATTTTATTCATTTTTATGTTCTGAGGATATGCTAATGCCAGCTTTCATCATCTTACTGTTGCCAGGAGAAACTTCCGGAACAACTGCTACATTTGTAATAGTTGATGGGTGGACTGTGACAGTTGCATCAGTTGGGGACTCACGTTGCATCTTAGATGCTCAGGGTGGTGCTGTATCTATCTTAACTGTTGATCATAGGCTTGAAGAAAATGTGGAAGAGTGCGTGATTTTATTTTAATGTTATGAATCTTTATTTAGTTCCTTTTAGAAAGCAAGGATATATTGCTTAAACTGTAACTGCAGGAGAGAACGTGTTACTGCAAGTGGAGGTGAAGTTGGGAGACTTAGCATTGTTGGTGGTGTTGAGGTGAGGTGCCCTGGTTTTACTCTTTTATATGTACTAAAATCTCAAATAAAGAACTGCCGCTTTTAGGCTTTCTATAGTACATAATTTTTTATCATTATTCTACAATTTTGATAAAGCGTGATACTTATATGCTTAAATTATATATGTACAGGTCGGTCCCCTCCGTTGCTGGCCAGGGGGTTTATGCCTTTCAAGGTCCATTGGTGACATGGATGTTGGGGAATTTATAGTTCCGATACCATATGTTAAACAAGTGAAGGTATCGATCTTTTTACTGAGCCTGAAATTTTGAATTTCCATTTTTGTTTGGGTATTTATAGGCTTGTAGTTTTTTTCCTAATTTCTGATTCATCAGCTTAGTTTTGGCCATCATGATGCTAACCTAATCATACTTCTATGTTTCTAACATTCTTCTCTGGTGTACCAGCTATCAAATGCAGGGGGAAGGCTCATTATTGCTTCTGATGGCATCTGGGATGCGCTATCTTCTGAGATGGCTGCCAAGTCTTGTCGTGGGTTGCCTGCAGAGCTTGCTGCCAGGCAAGTTGTCAAGGTGATTTAAGTTCATCTGTTGCTATTTTCTCCTTTTTACTTTGCTATAAGATCTAATTGTTGTGTCTTTTTCTATTTTTCAATATGATTAATGTATTGATAAATCGAACTTTGATTTGATGCTAAGCTTGTTGTTAAATCAAGTTATTTAGTGGTGTAATGTTTTATATCATTCCATGGATCATTATTTAGGAAGCCTTGAGGATGAGAGGGCTGAAGGATGATACAACTTGTATTATTGTTGACATAATTCCTCCAGAGAATCCATTGCTGCTTTTAACCCCTCCCAAAAAGCAAAATAAGCTTAGATCTCTTATCTTCAGAAAGAGATCACAAGATTCTGCAAATAAACTAGCCAAAAAGTTATCAGCTGTGGGTATAGTGGAAGAGTTATTTGAAGAAGGTTCAGCAATGCTAGCAGAAAGGTTAGCATTCTTTCTCTCTCCTGTTCTTTTTTTTTCCTTTTTTTATTTTGATATTTGATTTCTTTGTATCTGCCAAATAAAGTGAAGTTGATTTATTTGTCATTTTTTTCCTTGGGTAGAAGTGAGCTAGAAGATTGCAATAGTGATAGCTTTATTTTGATTCTCGCAATAGGCAGTGTTTTGCATCTGGAGTGGGGTATGAGCTCCTATAAATTGCCACCTGTCCTATGTGTCAAGTATTGGGACCAACCAAGTGGGTCTAAACCAATATATTGTCTATGCAAAAGGCAGCATAATCAGATGATCTATAGAGCTTGTTTTTGACTATAAAAAGAACTCTCATCCATCCAATTAAATCTGGTAAAATTGAACAGCTCTATTCTTCTGTAAACACTGATTTTTGGCCCACCTGATACTATGTAAGATCCATCTGATGGTGGAACTGGATGCTGCAAATATGTGACAGTGGCAAGTTAGGTCCCCAGGCCACATTACAGGTCCTCTGTCTAGATTAGCTCTTGAGACCAGAAATTTCCAACTTAAAAGATTTCCATGATACTTTCAAACTTAAATAGGAAAATTTCAACCAAGCAACATCCTAATGTATTTGTTCTTGCTTTTGTAACATTTCTTTACTGATTGTCAACCAACTTCACATGTGATTTAGTAACATCCAAGTATTAGTAGAAGATCAAGACTGCAATCAGCCTTGAACCCTAATAGATTTTAGGTTAAGAAAAGTAAAAGAAAAGAGAGAGGGAGGAGGAAGAGAAGAGAAGAGAAACAGGAGAACACAAGAGTTTGAAAGGAGGGACAAATTCTAACACATCTGCCGCCGCCACTCTCTTAGTATTTATAGGTTATGTTCAGTACATAGAGAAAAGGACAGATCTGCCCTTAGTACTTACATGACAAATAAAGTAAATAAAAAACTGAAATAAATAACAACTGAAATAACAAACTGACCCCAACTGACACTACTATGACTGAAACAAATAATTACACATGCTGTCCTATGAACACAGTGGGGACCACTGCTGTGGGGCCCACATCAGTGTTCTCTACATGATTATTGAACTTTCCAATGGAAAATGGTGTAATTGGATCAAGTATGGCAGTCTTGTCTGGTCCAGTTTGGCTGTGGTTGAACACTTGAACCGTTGAAGACCACCAGTAGAGCTTGTATTTTTGTGTTATCACCTGGTTTTCGTACAAAAAAAACTTGTTTCAATTTGGTTTAAGAATACTAGGGACTACTTTTGTATTTCCTGAAGGCCTATTATCCAGTGCTGGCCCTGGCTATCTGTATCTGGGCTTGGGAGGGGTGGACTAGATATAGAAATAACCTTGGCATTTTATTGCACACAGTGGTTGTTTTCAGACTTAAACTTGCATTCATGCACTTGTGAGCCCAAGATTGTACCATCGCACCAAACTATTGCTTGTTTATTTTCTAACTGTTATCTAAATGCCAAGGTGAGCATAGGTAATGGGTCTAATTCGTTCTAGTTGCTTACCCTGGTGACATTGAAGTAGACCCATTAATAAGTTCGGTCTGGGCTGGATCAAGCAAGATCCAGTCCCTACCTGATAGGAAACTAGGTAAGGCAGACCTGGTGCTGACCTAGACCATATGGGTCTGTAAATAACAGGCCCAGAACTAACTCTGTTATTAATTGGGCCTGGTGAGGAAGGCCTGATTTTAATTAAATGCCTAAAGCTTGGTAACTTTTTATGATAAACAAATAATAAATTTGATAAATAACTTTTTTAAAAAATTCATGTTATCCATCAAAAAAAGTAATAAACTTGATATTTGACCATATAGACCTGCTAATTTAAGAAAAAACCTAACAAATGACAAGTTTAGACATCCTAATGCATTTCATCTGCTAATAAAGAAAGTAATGACTTTTCAGTCGCTGTTCGATTTTGAAACCAAGCGGGCTATTACTGCAGAGAATAAAAAGGAAAATCTGCACAGCAATTGGATAATTAATATGTATGTGTGTATGTGTACACATAGAATGTGCTAAATGAAATACAAACCACATTACCATAGGTGGTTCTCTGAAACACCAGGTCATTGCTTACTATGGATCCACCTAGGAGGTTATTGTGTAGCATTAGTTGAGGGCAAAGGTGCAAAGATGATCATTTTTGACACACTCATGTTGGAAGCTGAGTTGACTGAATAGTTCATGCAATATTGCTAGATCTTTATGTCTACTAGAACACAATTCCAGGATTTTGGACTATGTTAGCATACCCTTCCCTGACGTGTGGTTTGCATCATTGAGATGACACCCGCTAAACTGTTTTATAGCCTTTCTGATGATGGATACAATGGAATAATCCTTTTTTCTGAAACAAGGAAAGAATCCATGGAGAAAGAAATCAGTTTTCTTCCTATGCCTACACCAATGGGAATTTCTTAAATTTTTGGGTGCTCAAGATATTGATTTATTCAATTTCTAGTTCAGTGTATTGGAGGTAAGGTTAATCATCTTAAAGGGTAAAAATATTTTAGACAGTCCACTTATACATATTACCCCTTGCTTAGCTTGAGTGTCAGCCAGAGAGTTGGCTGATCTTTGAACCCACTGCACCTACACAACCATAGTCCTTGTCAACCATCTAATCCTCTTAATTTCATTTCTATATGTCCATAGAGCCTCTTCATGATTCATCAGCCAGTCTATGACCACCTTTGAATCCCCTTCTAGAGAGTGTTAGAAGTTGAAGTTAGAATTACACGACTTTTTCTTTTAGCCTAACTTTCATGAGGTCAATGTTTTTCATGATTTTGGTGTCACTAGACCGGTTGTTTAGTTATCTATCCAATCAGATTAATATATATTGTAATTCTAGCATGTTTTGAGAGAGTTAGGTCTGTTTTTCCAAAAGGGTGTCAGTTTTTGGTGAGATTCCAGTCTTTCTATTGGTCTTTCTTGGAGTTCCTTTTGGTTTGTTTAGTTTTAGTTGGATTAATAACGAGTCACTAGAATTGTTTGAGTAAGTTTTTATTTAGGTTTCTCAGTGGGTTATCAATAGGTTTGCCTTTGTTTTGAAGTAATCAGACGTTGTTTCTTACATTTAAAGTAATCTGAGCCCTTATGTTGAGTCTATACATTGAGTCATTGTTATTGTAAATTACAAGAGCAGCACGGGTTCTTCTGTTTCTTCATAATCTTTTAATCATTCTGGTCTGGTAGACAGCAAGCTCTCTACTTGCTTCTTTATCTTTATTCTTCATCAGTAACCACTCAAATTGTCTTCCTTTGCCCAATGAAGCCCAACACCAGAATTGAAAGTGATAAGACCCCAATAGGTCCTAAATCAATTTCGGATCGAATCTCTGCATTGTTATCTCCCATCACCTGAACCCTAAACAAGGTAAAGAGAGAATTACTGCATTAGACACCCATTTCTATTCCAAATCCCAGGGCATTGAATTGTAACAACTAAGATGCTCTGATAATGTTGGTTCCTGTTAGAAAAGACACTGAGTGTGCCATGTTTGGTATGACGATGATTTCCTCTAGGATCTCTATTCTGCTGTCTTAGGTATCACCTTGATATGATGAATCCAGCTTCCCATTTGCTTCTCATTACTTATTTCATGGTATTGTATCAATTGCTCAGTGTTTTGTCACGTCTTTTTATTATTTACTTCACACTAACAATGTTCCTGTACTTTATTTATTATGATTATGGAAATCAGACTTGGGAATGAGTCATCTATGGGGCAGTCGACATCTGGTCTTTTCACATGTGCTGTTTGTCAAGTTGACCTTGCCCCAAGTGAGGGGATTTCGGTTCATGCTGGTTCCATCTTTTCCACCAGCTCAAAACCTTGGCAAGGTCCTTTCCTCTGTGCTGATTGCCGTAATAAGAAGGATGCAATGGAAGGAAAACGACCTAGTGGAGTTAAAGTGGTATAACTGTCCAGTTTTTCTGTCACTCTTTTTTGCCCTGATTTCAATTTATTAGGCCTTTTTTCTTGGCCAGGCAATTGTTTGGATCTCCAAATATGATGGTGTACCCCCCTGTATATGTAATATTAACACATAATACAAGCTCAATCATGGCATCTCAAGAAAAGTAATATGATTCCTCCTCTCTCTCTAGCTTTTGATATTCAATATTTGCTTACCTCGCTTTGATCTCTACTGAAGAAGATGACTTTGTTGTTGTGGTGATGACTTTTCCTTCATAGGCCGCACCACCTCGCTTTGATCTCTACTGAAGATGACTTGTTCGAAGAGTTTGGATCAGCTGACCACAATACCATACCACAGCACATTGGGAACATCTTCCATGAAGACAGAATTCAAATATGAGAGAGAGTGCGGATAATGTTGACCACAACGCATTGACTAATGACCAGCAATGTGCTGTGATCAGCAAACCCGAACTCCTATGAGAGATGTTCCCAGTGTGCAGCTCTACGGCTTTGTGGCTAATCGGAATCACTGCTTAACCGGTCGATCAGTTTTGGTTTTTGACCAGTTTGGTTTTTCAAATTTTCTGTTTTTTATATAATATATATTATATAAATATATAAATATATAATATTATATTATAAATAATAAATCATATATAATATATTATAAATAAATTATTATAAATATATATACCAATTGATTCCGTTAATCGCATTTTTTCATTTGATTTTTCAGATTTTCAGTTTTTTATAAACACCCCCTAGTGGAGTGGCCAGTCTATTGTGGTCAGTAGATATGGCCATGCCATCCATTGGGAGCCTCACCATTCTCGAAACGCCAATTAACTTGGAAGAGGATATAAGTGAAGATGAAATCAGGTCAAGCCCCCTTCTAGTCAGACACAAGGCAGCCCTATTGTAAGACAATTGTCCTCCCAATAATTTGCAAAATCAAGAACAATCTGAATAGTGGCCTTCCAATTATTATGAGAAAAAGTAGACACGTGTCAATAATCTGAGAAGTGGCCATTCAAGAACACAGCCCACGACCATGCAAAGTCACGTGCCATTCAAATTCTTTTTTACAAAAAAGTGAGGAGTGCTGGAGTGGGAAGCTCTCACTCTTTCGTTTCCTAAAAAAAAGGAGAATATGCAACATTTCAATTTTCATCTCTGAACAATATGCAACTTCATCCAACCGAATTATCTATTTTTCTGCACATTTAGAGAGGTTTGCATCTCAGAGAAGTTTGCAACTTCATCCCACTCTCAATCTCTTCTTAGAAAAAAGGACAATATGTTAAATGAGTTGATTGTTTAGACTTGAGTAATTTGTCATTCATGTACAGTTTGTTATGTGTGGATAAACCTACATTGCCAATTTTCAGGAAAAAAACCTAATAATTAATTTTATTTGAATTTCAAAATATTTGTTCCAACCAATTCATTAGTACCCCCTGTACTCAAACTGCAATTCAGAAAGTTGTATTCTCTGCGTCAAATGTGATTCATGCTCTGCACCAAAACCAGGAATCAAGTTTATTTTCTTGCATCCAAACTGCAACTGAGAAATTTACAATCTCTACATTAAATGTGATTCATGCTCTAGATCAAAGAGGGGGTTGTGGCAATAGAGGCCATGTCCGCCTCTGCTTGCAGTCGGTGGTGGCGGATACCAAGGAGGGGATTGTGACAGTAGAGGTGGAGGTGGTGGTAACAGAGGCGGCAGTGGTAGGGAAGGAAATTGGCTCTATCCCAACCTAAGGTGCTATTTTGCATCCTTCCTTTTCCCGGTTTATTGTTGTTTTCCTCTGCGATTTACTATGCGTTATTAGAATGTGTTGAAGTTCAGGTTGTTTGAATTTGTCCGTTCATTCTTTTCCCTCCGAAACTTGTGTTGGCTTTGGATACCTTCAATCTTATTTTTTGTAGTTGTGGGAATCTGAACTTTGCAAGAAGAGTTGAATGCAATAAATGTGGTGCGCCCTCTCCAAGTGGAGCAGGCGATCATGCTGGTAGTGGCGGTGGTTATAACAGAGGAGGAAGCGGAGGCGGATATGGTGGGCACCGTGGTGGTAGAAACAGTGGTTATGGTGGTATAGACGGTGGTGGAAGAGGTGGCTCTTATGCTGGTGGTCAAGGAAGAGAAGATGGTAGTTAGGGTCAAATGGCTATGCCTGCATCGGGATCCTACGGTGGTGGTAGTGGAAATTATCCTCCTCACCCGAATTCTTATGGTGGAAATAGTAATTATGGAACAGAAGCAATTCTTCCTTTTAGGGGTGGCAACGAGTCAAGCTTTTCATGAGTTGTTCGAGTTCGGCTTGGTTTCAACCGAGTTCGAGTCCAATTCATTAGTTCGATTATTAAATGAGCTAAGCTTGAGCCTATTAGAGCTTGGCTCGCGGGCTAGCTTGAATATATATATTATAATTATTAATTATTATAATTCTTAAGTTTTTAAATATCAAATAAAAAATATTTTTATATATAATTTTTTATTTTTATAAAATATTTTTTCTCAAAATCGAGCTCGAACTTATGAATTTTTTACTTGAACCAAGCTTGTGCTCAAGGTTTTGGCTCGAGCTTGAGCCTTGTAGAACAGTCTCGAACCAAGCTCAAACTTAATAGTATTCGACTCGACTCGGCTCGAATCCACCCGTACCTCCTCCTACCAGCTACATTGGTGGTCCTCATTCGTATCCCCCATCCTATGGTGCCCCTCCAAATAGTTATGGTGGCGTGCCCCGGTTGATACATGCTGAAGTGGTCGTGGAGGTCCACCGGGTGGGTATGATGGTGGATATGGTGGTGCCCCCGACACTCAGGTGGTGGCTATGGTGGTGCTCCAGCTGAACCTCCAGCTAAGGTCAAACAATGCGATGAGAATTGTGAGGATTATTGCGACAACTCAAGAATCTACATCTCCAATCTGCCATCGGATGTGAGTATTAAAGAGCTAAGAGAGCTTTTTGGGGGGATTGGCCAGGTATGTCTGTGTTTCTTCCATTTCATACTGGACGATATGCACGTGACATAGTTATTTGTGATACCTATATCTCGAAGAGTGATTTCTTGCACTCAGCATTTTCATTTTCTTGGGACAAAGGCCATTCAACATTTTATCCTACATTTGTATTTTGTGTTTTATGCAGATCTATTTGTTTGTGTCCTGATTAAATAGTCTATAATGTACATCTGTGTTTTGGTTTGTCTAGGATAAATGAAATCCCAAAGAATTGTTTAGATATTATTTCACTGATTGAATCAGCTATCATACATTGAAAGAGCAACTGAGTTACAATAAGAAGACAAAAGAAGTAAATGTTGCTTCCAATTGGCAAAAGAAAAACATATTCACACATTTAGCATGTCTTTTGTGTTATTGGTGTTTCTTCTAAAAGAATTATAAACTAAAAGAATTATAAAAGCAATTGCTATTTTAGGAATTAATTAAAAATTGTAATTATAACAAATTAATTACTTCATAATAATAATAATAATAATAATTTAATATTACTTATTTCAAAATCAATGCACACATAATAAGAATATAATATTAGTAAATAATAGTAATAATAATCTACTTATTATTATTACTGATTTCATAATTATTAATATATTATTAATCTATATTACTCAATAGAGACATGGAATAAAAAATGTTCAAATTACCACTAAATGAATGAACTAAAAATCTATGAATATTTTAATTGACTTGAATTTGACACATCAACATGCCCAAAATTATAATTTCAACCTACATTTCCTATTTCTATCTCTCAATTCCCATAATTCAAACATACCATTAGGTTATGTACAAGATCCCCTACCTTTTTCCTAAAGATAAATTCAAGCCGGTCTACGTGCACTATGGGGAGCTTAGACTTAAAATCCATAACCATGATTGACCAAAAGAAGTTTTGCCACTTAACTTGGAGGTGGCTTCCATACTCAGGATGGTCTCATTATTCTCCTTTTTTTCATGTTTCTTCTGTTGGATGGGCTTTGGAGTCCTAATTATATTATCAATTGATTGTAGTCATACATAATGATGATTTGGTTGTAGTCATATATTTTTCATCTCTTACTTTAGAGGATGGATGCATCTTCAAATGTGGTTTGGCATGGACTATTTTTCTTAGCAGTTCTTTGAATGATTTTCTTCCTTTTTTGCTTCTTTGAATGGATATCATTTAAATGTTTTTTATCCATTCATATGTCCCTAAATATTAAGCAGCATTGGTGAGATTGTTGTAAACATCCATCTAATTTTACTATTTTATAAATAGATTAATGATTTCAAAGTTATTGATACTTTTTTGTGGTGGGTTGCTCAACAAGACATTGATTTTTTATTGTTAAACAGTAAATTTCAAATTAAATGATACTGTAGTTGCCCCTTACTTAGTATGGGGTCATTGTCTAGATAAAACATGGTAAATCTCTTAAATGAAATAATGAGCCTACCCTAAATGTCTATTATAAATAATTAAAAAAAATGAAATAATTCAAATTAAATCAAATAATTACTTGTTGAAAATTACTGGATTAAGTAAATAATAATAACAATCAATTATTTATAAAAATAATTAATAATAATAACAATCATCAAGTACTTAATTAAGTAAATAATAAAAAAAATAACAATCATCAGCTATCATTAATGTTTATTCAAAGCATGCCCCATAATAATTACCAAATACAATAATTAAACCTTAAATAAGAATCAATATTTATTAAATGTCATTAAAATTGTTAAGTCAAATCATTAATGTTTATTCTTAAATGCAAAATATGAATTAACAAATTTATTATATAATAATTATACTCGGTTGGAAAAAATATTTTAAGTAAATATTTAAATAATTACAAATTTAGTTATTATTATTACTATATAAAAAAAATTAAATTAAATACTAAAATAAATTAATAATAATAATAATGGTTAAATTAAAGTAATAAATAGTTCAAGTTGAATTTAATGACCTGTATAATTTTATGGGTTTGACATATAAGAGTCAATTTATGTGGACTCATAGATTGTATGAATATCTTAAAAAATGGCAATTTATAAATAATAATAAAAAATAGTAATAAAAATCATTAATATTTATTCATATATATATATATATATATAATTAACTTCCCCGGGTTATTCACTAGTTAAGAATTAAGAATGATGAATATGGTAGATGTTTTAAGTTTTAAGTTTTGAGTGTATGTGTATAACTGTATCATCATCAATCAGGTGAGCTGGTAAGTGTTAAATATATATTGGGAAAATTAGAATGCAATGCCAATTGCCAACCAAGGGAAGCAGTCCAAAATATTTGTGTTTTGTATTTGAGTTTTCCTCCAATCCTCTATTGTGCGATGCGCTTAATCCGTAAAATCATGACTTTTGACGGGTCCGGATTTCCTGCAATTGGTTTCGTGTATGCTGGGGTGCACTTCCAATCGAATTTTAACACGTCGTGGTTCTCATGCACACCCGTCTCACATGTGCCAAGAAAAATTAAACCGAACTCTGTCCTCTTATAATTTTATAAAACATTTTTTGAAATTAAAAAATGAAAAAGAGAACTATTCATCTTCTTCCCCAACTCGACAACCAAAGAGCGGCGGCCAGCTTCACGGATACACCCTTCAATCCTTTCCATCTCTGGGTAACAGAAGTTGGTACTCAGAAGATTGAATCTTCATTTAAGTTTCAAAATCTTCTATGGTTGTTGACAATTTAAAACAGCCAACCTGAAGCTATTTCACAGTTTGGCCTAGCTTAACGTTCTTTGTGTTTTTTCTTGTCTTATGTTATTCTTACTGCACTTGTTTCAAGTAATGAATTATAAGAACCTGTGTCAACGACGACTCTGCGCATATTTCATTTCTTGATTTGGATTATATTCTTTGTTTTATTTTCCTCCATTTTCTACAGGGGTATTATTAAAGACATTAACTATTATCAACAACTGCAACTTCACAGTACAGCCGGAGGTGCAATCCGGCAGCACATCAGAACAGCCAAGTACAACACGCTTCGCTCTCCAAAATGGCAAGTCTACTACCATTACCGTCTTAGCTTCCCTCTATGGTTGGCATGGGGAGAGTGGAGTGAGGTAGATCCAAAATGGAAAGAAATTCCAAATTAAATATTGATAGCCTCAAGAAGAACACCGACGGCCAACCCACCATGGAGCGTACAAATAAGCCAAAAAAAGGAGCATAGAATCACTCATCAGTGACGACTGTTACGGTGTTACCTCGTAGCTAGGGAAGAGAGACTGAATAGCAAATACAACAATGCTTAAAGCGACTAGTAATTGGCAAATAAAGGGCACATGGACCTCTATAAAATGAATCTTGAATCTGCACAGGATCTCGAATATATAGAGTCCATGGATTTATGGTTCGGTCTACCTGTAGGTTTTCCATGGCCCATATATATCCATCGAATGTACCAAAAATGGATTGATAGTTGGAGCTTGTGAAGACTGAAGTGTCGGTCCTTGCTCGTCAATGAGGAAGTAAGGAGGAAGGTGGAACTTAATCAATCCTGGGCCGGGATTCCAAGACCAAGACATTGTTTACTCTTGACCAAATCAACTGACGTATCAACTGGAATTTCTTTGTTTTGAGAATATATACCCAAGATTACTGGAAAATATATATTTCTCCCAATAAAGGTAAGGAGAGAAGATTTGTGTTAGAGATAATGAGGTGGGTGGTGTTTGAGCGTTGGTGAGTAAATAACAGATAGCAATAGCATCGATCGGGGGGTCTGCTGGTTATCTATCAGCTGGATAACTCAGCAGATGAGAAGTGTTACCAAGGTTAAATGGGTTCCCATGGCTCTGTTGTTATTGTTGTTGCAGTCATCTTCCTTCTTCTGTTGCACCACCTTGCTTTGCAGTTGGAGTCAGCCGAAGATGACTTGTTCTTCGCAGCACGATGCCATCCGTTTGAGTGTGGGAATCTCAACAACATCAGCTACCCATTTTCCAATTCACAACATCCCGAATGCGGGTTAAGCGTTATCCATTGCGATGAATATAACAGACCTATTATTTATTTTGATTTTGGTGGTGAAAGCAAACGCTACGAAGTTGAAGCAATCCATGACAATAATAACACTATTGTGATCCGTCACTTCCCAGATGGTGATCAAGACGGAGGAGTGGAGGAGGCAGCCTGTCACTTACACAGTTTCACGACACCCACTTTCTCCAATTTGGTCACTACTCTCTTGTTTCAAGTAATTAGCCCTAACCTTACCTTGGTCRCGTGTTCTTACAACACCGAGTATTCCCCACCAAAAGAAATCGTGAATCAATTTTTCGAGTACACCTATTATTGTCCGGGGCGGGGGGGCCTTGCATGCCTTCTACCAGAACGGCGATCCAAAGCAGGGTCGATCACTCTCCTATGTTTCAAAGGATTTTTGTTCAGTCTTCCAAATTCCCGTGCACAATCTGTTGCCGCCTCTATCTGATTCTGTCAACAAAACGGATGATCACCTCTCGCCTCTGTTGCACGCCGGCTTCTCTCTTAAATGGAGCTTTCCCCCGGAATGCCACGAGTGCGATGTCAAAGGAGTCCCTTGTCGACGGGATCCACTGACTTCAACTGTCGAGTGTGCAAATATAAACAACGGTATGAAAATACAGGCCCCAAGCCCAAAGAGACGGTATACAATTGAATACAACTTAATTTATCCTTTAATTTTTTTTTTTATTGTTAAATAAATGCGTTCATCATTGTTTCGGTCCTTGTTTATGTCTGTGGCAATTGCAAATTTGTTACTTCCAATTCACAATCCAGGTTCTTCCTTTCCGGGTGGCTTCTGTCTCCAGTCCGCCCCAGTTTGCTTATTTGTAGAATTGATCTAACTGGCAGGAATTTTCTTTTATTTTCCCTTCTTTTTTCTTTTTTTGTGTCTTGGCATACTTGCATCCTTGCGTAAATAAGCATTTGTACCCTCATTTGTACAAATGCAGGTAATAATATCCAACTGGAGCCTAAAAATAATGGTATGTCAATCAAAACAACTTTCTCAATCCTTATTTCTATCTTCTGATTTTTCTTTTTTTTGGGTAGAACATTTGCCTTCTGATTCAATAACAAACCATCCCTTCTCGGGTGGCTTCTGTTTCCAATCTTGCCCTGTTCGTTAAGT